CGGAGCCCCGGGGTCCCGGGAGCATGGGTGAGGAGCAGGAGGGCGGGCGCAGGCTGGCTACCGCCCTTGGCCCCGCCGGTCCGCGCCCGCCGCTGCCTCGCTGCGCACGCGGACTGGGGAATTTGGAGGCCACTTAGCGGAGCCTGAAACACTTTCACTCTGGATTTTGTTCTTATTTTTAATAGAGCCCCCTCGAGTGACGTCGCGGGCTGGTCTCCTGGACACGTGCCTCGGGCCAATGGCCACGGCGCGGCGCGCCCACGTGACCCGCCAGCGGCCGTTCCGTGACAGGAGCCTGCCCGCGCCCCTCCCCCCGCGTCCCCGCCCCTTCTCCCCTTAAAGCGGCCGCTTCCTCCCAGCTCCCTGGTGCAGGGCAAAGAGGTTCGCTGGCGGTGCGAGTCCAGGAACTCGGCGAGACTCCGGACCGCGTCCTCTCCTCTCGCTTTCGCTCTCCCTTGCCGGTTCCTGGGTTTGAGAAACCACTACCACAGCCCTGCCAAGTCACTCTGCTGTGTATATATGTCCACGCTCTATAAGATTGCTATTTTTAACATTTCCATATTGTTTACCGTGGGGGGAAATCCCACAATTCCTTGCACTAAATGCATAAATAATATTAAATGAGCCGCCGACATACAAAGGGACTTTTACAGTCTGCCTTACTTGCTGTTGGACAGGGCAATTGTCACTTACATTTGACTTTAGTAACCCGGGCAGCTTCCTCTCTTAAACGCAGAGCTGGCGAGCAGGATACTCCTCCTGTAGACCCTTATTGTAAGTGTGTGTGTGTGTGTGTGTGTGTGTGTCTGTGTGTACGCAGACAGGCGCGTGCATATGGTAGAATTCCATTCAGGCATCCCGATCTTCATGAAACATGTATACAGAGCTGGAAGAGCGCAGGAATATGGTTTAGGGCTCCGTTTGGGGAAAGCAGAGATAAAGGAGCTTAGTGGGCTGTAATTGAATCTTCTGTATGGAGACAAGAAGAGGGCTGACAATTCAGCCAAACGTTCAAAGCAATCCGGGGAGAAAATAAATGCACCCGAGGGCAGTGGCCTCCCCTACAACCATCCGACCCTCCCCTCGACGTCTCTACGCTGATTCAGGGGCTGTCAGGACGTTCATTTCATTTGTCTTGAAATTCTTTAAACTAGTTCCGCAGAAGAGCAGAAGCGGTTTGAAAGGAGAAATCGTGACGTAGAGTGGGGAAACGGATAGCGGGTAACCCCAATTTGCTTCTCCCCTCCTCTCTTTACCCCTTTTTAGACTATCCCGCTGCTGTTAGAATGTCCAGCAAGAACTTCTACTTCTTCTTCTCTCCCCCCTTCTCCCTCACGCTTCCTGTATTTGCTCTCTTCTCTTCACCGCCGGCGGCAGGCACCCCACGAAACAACCGTCCTTACCCCAAGCCCGCCTTTCCATTATTTAAAATGCATTTTCATATAAATTTGTGAACTTTAAGAACCATCCAAAAGGGCAACTCTAAGGGTGAGCTAGTGCTTGCACAATAAAAATACACTCGCCAGGAAGACTGGGTGGGGAGGCGAGAAGAGGTAGAAGAACACCAGGACGCCCCTAAGCACGGCTGGCCTGGAACTTGGCGGGGCCTTGCACTTGGTGGGCCTGGGACGCAGGCGACGTGGCGGCGGGAGTCGGGGAGCGACCGAGGCCCTTCGCAGCCCCAATTGGGGGCCTGGGGCAGACGGCCGGAGCTGCCAGGCCAGAAGGGAATCAGTGGGGTCTGGGCGAGGAGCTCCTCCACCCCCCAGCAAGACCGGCCAGGACACCTCTGAGGCATGTAGGTTACACCCCAGGCAGGCTCAGCTCTACCCTGCTCCCACCGGCTCCTCTCCTCTCTCCTGGGGCTCTGCCCCACCCTTCCCCAGGCTCCAGGGACCTGGGGTGGGACAAGAAGCAACAGTACCAGGGCAGTGCTCCAAGGGAAATTAACAAGTGGAGGAGGGAGAGTAGGAGGGGGTCTGGACAGAGGTACTGGGTGGTCACCCTGAGGCTAACGGTGGCTGGATTGAGGGCAGGCAGGGAAAATGGTAGAGCCAGGCAGGCTGGCGGGAGTGTGGGTAACATTCTGGAGCTTGGGGTAGGAGGAGGCTTGCCAATCCTCTGTGCCTTTCAGGCAGGGTCGGGAAGCCACTTCTTACTTGGGGTGACTCACATTTCTCTTCCTGCCTTCCCTCCGCACCTTCCCCCCACTGGGTTTCTCTCTGGGTCTCAAAAAATAAAACCCCACAGAGTCTGCCTGTCCCTAGGAAAATGAGGCTGTGATGGTTTGTGGGACACTCTGTTGACAGTATGTCTGACTTTTTGGGGAGAAATTCCTGTAGCTCAGGGACCCTTAATCATTACCAGCCAGGAAATGGACAGTTCTAATTACTTAGGTAAAGAACCCTGGTGGAGCAATGGTTAAGCTCTTGTCTGCTAACCCAAAGGTCAGTGGTTGGAACTCCCCCAGCAGCTCTGTAGGAGAAAAGACCTGGAAATCTGCTCCCTAAACATTATAGCCTAGGAAATCCTGTAACACAGTTCTATTCTGTCCTGTAGTGTCACTATGAATCGGAATTGACTGAACAGCACACAATAACAACAATTTCTTAGGCTATCTTAAATGCGAATGGGTGGAGGGAGGGCCAAGGGCTATTTTGCTTCCAGCAAAGCCTTACTGGGTTAATTTCTCCACCCTGAAATCCATTAGTTGGTCTCCCAAGAAGTATTTTCTAATTTTTTGGAAACCTCTGCCTCTGATTACCCTAGCATTAAATTAGCCCAAGGTTCTGGACTTCTGGAGCATTCTTTCCTGCCACCCAGACCCAAATTCATAGCTGCAGCATAAACTCTGAAAGGCAGCTTGTACCTCCCAGGTAAACCTAGCTCTTCATCTCCCTGATCTGCGAGCACACGGGTCCCAAGGCTCAGCTGCCTGCCTGGCTTGAGAAGAAGCCTTGGACTTGGGTTACTGATCTGGAGATGGGAGCGGGGTGCAGCGAGGAGGGGAAAAGGAGAGAAATAATTAGAGGAGGCGATCAGGCCACCCAAAGCGGATCCAAACATGAAAATAATTCCGGAAAAGAGCGCCTCTTTAGAGTGGATGCCATCTAAAAGGGGGAGGCTATGGGGGAAATCTGGGCCAAAGGTTCAGAAAGTTGCTTCGCCCAGGGGTTAGGGGAATCCTAAATCTTACAAACACAGAAATCGCCACAAGCGGTTTCTGGATGCTCCTAGAACGTATGAAAACCCCAGCGAGGGCTTGCGGCTCGGCCTCTCACTCCTCACCCCCAATCTGGGACACCGCCCGGCCGTGCTTCCTGGGACGCAGCGGGAGTTGGCATTTCAAATCTTCTCTCTGGGGTCCAGGGTCGGTGGGGCGCCGAGATGCCAGCCCTCGCGCTCCAGACCGGCGCCGGGCGGCCCTGCGCGGCAGTGAGCCGCGCTGCTGCTCTCCGCCGCCGCCGCCCGCCGAGGCTGTTTTCGGTGCGCGATCAGAGGAAATCATCCTTGGACATGTTTCTCCCTAAATGTAAAGTGAGGCCCTGCTGGGTGAAACCGGCTCCCCTGTACTCTCCCGCAGACCAGGAGCTTGTACCGAACCGCCCGCTTACAGAGCACTATCCTCCGTGTGTCCCGGGTGAGCTGCCGAACTCGGGGCTTGGAGAGTAGAAAGAAGGCGTCCGGACAGGCTGAATTTAATAAAACTAACACTAGTATTACAAATACAACCTCGGCGCGTGCTTTCGGATTGCGCTAGCGCTGCTGGAAACGCCGGGGGCCTGGTTGTGGATACAGCCTTCCATTTTTTCTTAAAACGAGGCGGGAGGGGGCGACTTCCCGGGCCCCTCTGCTGTCCTCCTCGCTTCCCAGGCGCATTTAGGTTGAAGTGGCGACTCTCGGAAATAACGAAAGCACTCCGAGAGGCGCTCGCTCGCAGTGGGCAGCGGTCACTCGGTGGGTAGAGATGCCTAACAATTCTGGGGAGTAGGATCTCGGCCCAAACACAGGCCGCACGCGCCCCGCGCGGTTGTCTGAAGGTCAAGACCCGCACGGCGGGCACTTGGGCGCGAGCCCAGTGGTTGAGGCGCCGGGAGAAAACTGCGTTCTGCTTGGGCTGGAGACCCCCTCTGCGCCGGGCCGCCGCCCCGATCCTGGTCTGCACACAAAGGCCGAAATGACTGGGCGCGGAGGCGGAAGAGGGTTGGGGAGGGCGGGAGCGGGCGAGGGCGGGCAGGCACCGAGGTTAGGTGTCTCTGCTCACCTCCGAGCCGAGGAGAGTTCGGGTTGGGGAGGCTGGTGGCTGGGATCAGGAACCCCGTCGGAATCACCCCACGAATAAAGCGGTTAAAGGCAACAGTGG